ATGGTTTGTTCTTCTGAAACCCCTGGAACGTTCTACATGCTTCCCCAGCACCGCCACGCAAAGCCGTCACCTCCTCCTCCATCCTCCTTACTGTGCAGCGACGCCATCTGGCAGTTACGCAGTGACGTCACTTGGCAGTCACGTGGGGATGTGAGGCTGCTGTGACCTGATGTGAGACCCTGCGGTCAACACTGCCCACAGAGCCGAGGGGCGGGGCAACCCACGATGAAGGGTGGGTACCATGCAAGTGTCCACAGCATGAGCAGTCGCCCCAATGGAGGGCCTGGAGCTCAGGAGGTCAGCACCGTGGGAGCCCCCTGTGGCACGTGCCTGGTGACAAGGGCTCAGGCAGGAGGGAGCGGAAGTGACCGTTGGGGGTCATGAAGCTGACTTGCAACCTGGTCAATGCGACTCCTGTCACACCGGGAAATGGCTAGAAGGTTGACCTCTGTGTCACACACACACTTCCCCAGAGGAGCGCTGGTGGCTTAGTGGCTACGCATTGGGCTGCGATGCAAAAGGTCAGCAGTTCAAAACCACCGGCCCCACTGGGGGAGAAAGAGGAGGCGTCTACTCCCAAACCCTGCAGGGCCCATTGGGACTGACTCAATGGCAGTTAGTTTGGCTTTTGAGTTTATTAGTGGATTACATTCATTTTATCATGGTAAAATAGACTTGATGATTCCCGATTAATTGATTAGGAGCCTGGTGGCATTGTGGTTAGGTGTTGGGCTGCTGTGGCCTGTGGCCATGGGAACAGGCCATGCTTGCTGGGCAGTGAGCTGTGTGGGTAGGGATTCCGTCAACCACACTCTTGGCTAGGGGCGGAGTCTGACTTGTCAATCAAGTCCCAGCCTGATGACACCTCCCTGATGTCAGGAGTCTTTTGGTAAGAGTGAGAACAGAGACATGCTCTCTGACCCTTCAGCTTCCTCCTTGCTGGACACTGGACTCAGTGCTGCCTCCAGGACCGGCCCCATGCGGGGCGCCCGACCCTGAGAGCGGTCACATTGACCTTGGATCCACGGGTCTCTGCACGGACCGGCCTGTGACCTTCCTGCATTCTGAGTCTGAAGAGGGTCTTAGGGACTAGAATCGGTCAGACGCATGGACTTGAGTTGGGCTGGGCTGGCTTGGTACACAGTTACTTGTGGACACAAAGCTCTTTCCGACACAGATGGGTGTCCCTGGGCGTTTCTCCAGCCAACCCACCCAAGGGGAGGCCACGTGAGTTGGGCGGGGCCTCAAGCACCCGAGAGACTCACTGGAGAGGAGACGCCGGAGCCCGTGCAGTGGGGCCAAGAGCGGTGCTGCAGGCAGCTGCCCAGAGCCCAGGACCATCCCAGACAGATGATGGACAGACAGGGCCTTCCTCTGGCCTCCTGACCCTGACGAGGTCAGGTTCTCTTCCTCAAAGCCGCCCCTCTGTGGTGCTTGTCGGGTCAGCCTTGGCTGCTCACAAGCCGAGGATCAAACCCCGCAGCAGCTTCAAGGCAGAAGGGCCGTGGTCGGCTCCTGTGGACCCTTCGCCAGGGCTCATGGGGGGACTGACCTTGTGGCGGGGGGAGGGGGTGGTGGTGTTCCAGTTTGAGGGGAGCAGACACCCCTGAGGTGAAACCCTGAGATTCCTAGGCTGGCCCAGATGTCCCCCACCCAGTCCCTGAACAAGTCCCAGACATGTCCCCCCCCACCCTGGGACCCCTCTGGAGGGGCCACGGCCTGCTTGGCAGTGTCCACACTGTCCACTGGCCTGGGGTCCTCATGGGGCCAGTGTCCTCAGGCCTGCCGTCACCCACATCACCATGGGGACAGGCCTGGGTCCCATGGGGAGACAGGACAGAGTCCAGTTCTCCCCTTAGGGAGCAGGGGCGGGGGCATCCCTCCAGAGGGGCCACAGGAGGGGAGACCCTGGATGATGCCCCTCAGTGGGTGCTTCGTGTCCTGGGAGGCACATGGATGTGAGGGGCTTGGCAGGGGGGCATGAGGAGTGAAGGGGCATGAGGTCTGAGGGGACATGAGGCGGTGTGAGGGGATGCAGGGGCTTGAGGAAGTGAGGTGGGCAGGAGGGGGACATGCAGGGGCATGAGGAGATGAGGGTGGGCACACGTGCCAGGCAAAAGGCTGTGGGCAGGTCTGAGCCCTCTGGCTCCTTCACAGGCGCTGTTCTGGGACAAGTGTGGAGGCCCCTCTGTGATAAGCCCGGGAGCCCCCCACACTGGGTGGATTTGGTGGGCCACTTGCTCCCTCGGAGACCAAAAGGCCCATTTGTTGGTGTGCGGAGACAAAAAGGGGTGGGGGAAGGGCAGGGACAGACAAATGGACTGGTGGGGGGGCACAGGGGGCGAATGGGAGGGGCGTGGAGGCGCAGCAAGGGCTGCCATGGGTGGGGTGAACATGTCTGGGGCCCTGTGGGTATGAACCGCTGGACGGGGCACTGGCTTGCCTGTGGGCAACTGGGTGCGGGTGGGCAGCAAGGGCCAGCGGGCAGTCCTGTCCTGAAGCAGGAGGTGCTGAGTCAAAACCGACTCATCTGCACGGTAAACAACTCTCCTTCTCAAGAATTGTCCCCCCCACACACACACATCCTCCCCAAAGGGCCTCCGGTGGTCCTGAGCCTGCCAAGCCGAGGCTGTGTAGCCCACCTGGCTCTGAAAGCCCCGGCCACACAGGGCTCCCACTCCGGCTCCCAGCTTCAGGTGCCCGCTGGTTACTGCGCAAATACGGTGCCCGATGGGCGGCCGTTCCTTTCCGTTCTCCCAGTTCTGCTTTCTACGTATTTAAATAACCGAAGCCCCGGCCTCGGCCCACGAAGGGGAGTGGGGGCTGAGCGAAGGCAGGGTGAGAGGAGGCAGCAGTGTGGTCACAGTGTGCGCCTCACCGAGTCTGGCCCAGCGGTCATGGCCATGGGACTGGGGCAGCAGGGAGGGGACACCTAGTAGTAGTGTCTCTCCGAGTGCTAGACACCCCAGCTCCCTTGGGTGGCAGGGCCAGGGCTCAGAGTCTGGGAGGGGTTCTCGGGCGGCAGCTTCAGTGTGCAGGGCAGGGTGGGACAGACGCCCGTAGCAGACCCTTGCTGGGCCTCCTGGGAGGGTCTGTCTTGTAGCTGGGACTCTGAGGGGGGTCTGAGATGGTCATGGGACAGAACCGGGAGATAAGGAAGTTTTCCACAAACTCTTTCTTGACATTCCCCCCTGCCCTCTGCCTGTTTCTACAAAGACATTCCCAGGGAGAGGATGGGCTGGGGACAGAGCCAAGGTCGGAGCCAGATAAAGTGGGGGGTGAGTGATCCACCGTGAACCAGAGGGAGGGGCTGAGGCTCAGACCTGCTCGCAGACAGGAGAGCCTGAAGGCCTGTCAGCCCAGCGGCATCCTCAGAGCCCACTCCACAGGGGTGTGGCCAGGGACCAATTCTGAGCTGGGGGCACCCCACGTGGCAGGCTGCAGCTGTAGGTCCCTCAGCTGCCATCTTTGTGGGAGACCAGCAGGGCTTCCCTCCAGAGCTGGGAGCAGGGGTGGAGCAGGGGGAGGTACACGCCAATCTCAGTTAGCAGCAGGCCAGAGCCTACCCAGTGTGGTGGGCACAGACCTCCTTGGGGGTGTACCGGGGGCGGGGGGTGGGGGGAGTTGGGGAAAGGGGAGCTAATAACGCTGAGAATAAGAATGAAGAAATGCTCTAAAAGGGGTCATGATGATGATGGTACAAGTCCCCGTGTGACCGGACTACGGAATTGTATGAGAACGATAAGCCAATCGCACTGTTTAACAAAAAGGCCAGCCCGAGTTGAAATGTGGGTTCCTCTCTTCTGAGAACAGCTCGGACGGCACCTGTCCTTGTCACGGAGGTGGGTGGGGGTCTATCTGGGACCCCATAGCCCATGCGCTGCTGCTAAGAACCAGGAGGGCTGGTGGCAGAGCACGTTTTACTTCTCCTGGCGGCATATTAAATATCTGAAATATATTAATCTTGGAAAGGCGGTTCGCAGACAGTGCCAGAGGGAGCAGCCCGGGCAGCCTCAGGAAGTCAGGGTGATGAAACCGGCCGTGCTCAAGAGGCGGGCGTGGGGCTGCTCTGCTGGCACTCCCAGCGGGCCACCCAGGGCTGGGCGAGAGGCGGGAGGGCCTGTCCCGGGCTCCACAGACCCTTCAGCCTGTCCTACATCACAATAACACTTGACAGCAGGTACGGCCGGCAGGCTGCATGGAGGGAGCCCCGGGGTGGGGCTGTGACCACCTTTCAGAAGCAGAACCCTGGGCCTCTCTTCCGGGGCCTCTGCGTGGGCTGGAGCTGTCCACTTCCAGTTGGAGGCTGAGTGCTTAACTGGCTGCACCACCCATGCTGTTGATACAAGTGCCCCCAGTCACACCCCCTGGCCCTGGAGCAGTATCTCTGGCCATGTTTGGGGGCCCAGGGGCAGTCCCTAAGCTCCCTCTCCTGCAGAAGCTTCTCTGGTCATGTTTGGGAGTTCAGGGCAGTTCCCTAAGCCCCCTAGTTCTGCAGCAGGCACTTGGGCCTTGTTTGGGGGTTCAGGGCTAGTCCCTGAGCCTCCTGGTCCAGCAGCAGGCTCACTGGCTGTTTGGGGGTCCAGGGGCAGCCCCAGAGTCCTCTGGTCTGACAGCAAGCTCTCTGGCCCTGTTTGGGGGTCCAGGCCCCTAGTTCTGCAGCAGGCTCTCCGGCTTGGGGTAGCCAAAAAGAACGAAGTCGGCCTCGTAGAGCTTGTACAGCTGCTGCCGCCAGGCCAGCGGGATGCTGGCGAACCAGCCCTGCTCCCAGCTGCGGGCGGTGCGGTTGCGGTAGCTGGGCGGGAAGTGCAGGCGCTGGTCCACCTGCAGCAGCCGCAGCAGCTGGGCGGCGTCAGCGTCCAGCGTCTCCAGCTTGCCCACGAAGTCGTACTCGATCTGGCAGGGGTGACAGAGCCGGTACACCTGGCGCCAGTGCTCGTTGAAGGGCGCCAGGCGCTCGGTGTGCGGGTCCAGCAGGTACTGGATGAAGTGGGCGAAGGAGACCTTGAGGCCGGCGCGGAAGGCGGCGCTGGCGGAGGTGGGCAGGCTGGTGAGGTTGGAGTACATGCGGAGCATGGGCGCGGCGAAGCGGCGGTAGAACTCCTCGTTCTGCAGCTCGAACTTGCTGCGGAAGGCGGAGATGAGGCGCACGAAGGGGTCGCGCACGAACAGGAACTTGGTGTACTTCTTGAGCTTGACCTTCATGAGGTGCCGCGAGAACCTGCCGTAGCGGCGCCAGAACTTGTTGAAGGTGAGGTGGGTGCTGGAGTTGTGCACGTGCTCACGGGGGATGGCCAGCGGCTCGCGGTAGGGCCGGCCGCCGTCCAGCAGGCTCTCGCTCAGCACGATCATCACGCGCTTCCAGTTGGTGCAGGCCACCTTGGGCACGTAGCAGTAGATGACGCCGTGGCGGTCGTCCACGATGAGGTGGTTCAGCTCGTAGTTGGGGATGTCGTCGAAGGCGCGCTCCTTGGTGGGGAAGACAAAGCTCGAGTTGGCGCACAGGTCCCTGAGCAGCCGCTGCCGATGGGCCTGCCGCGCGGCCTGGGCCTGGCTCTGCTCAGTGGCTGCCACGTGGGACGTCCAGTCATAGCCCCTCACCCTCTCCTCCATGTTGCTCAGAGGGGGCCCATGGGAGGCGGGTGGCAGCGGCCGGCTCTTTTTGCCGGCCACGGGGTTGCTCTGTGCCTGGCCTGAGCCGGGCAGCACGTCCAGGAAGGCGTCTGCGTCATCGGCTGGGAGACCCTGGGCCCGCTCTGGCCCGGCCGTGGGTGGGGGCTTGGGGCCCCGCGGCCTGGAGAGCGCAGTGTGCAGGTAGAAGTGGGCAGTGCCCACGTTGTCCCAGTACACGATGATCAGCAGGATCATGAAGACGGAGCCCAGGGCCAGCCAGAGCCGGACCAGTCGTGCTTTCGCCATCCTGCGTGCGTGGGCGCAGCCGCCCGGACCCTCACTTCAGGCCCCAGGGTGGACGGGCCATGGTGCTCCAGGAACCTGGGTGGGGGGAGGGGAGGACGGTAAGGAGTGAGAGGTGTCAGGCTGGCTTCTCAAGGGCCCTTTCTCCTGCCTCCACAACCCCGCCCCCCTGTCCAGGCCAGCAGCTAACCTGAGGGGAGCGCACAGCCTTTGTGGGAGGGGGACTGCTGCCACATGGAAAGGCCCAGAGGTGACTGAGGCTGTGGACAGGGCCCCTGCCACCACCTGCCATCAGCGCACAGGGACTCGGGTGGAGAGGGGTGCACGTCTGCCCTCTGAGCACACCCTCTGGGTGAGGGCACGGGTTGGCAACGCTCCCAGAATGCTTTCCCAGACACGGCCGCACACTTGCCCAGGGCTTCTTACGAAATCTGACCCAAGTGCCCCCAGCTGCCTGCCAAGCAGGGGGCTGCAAGCACTTGCCAAGAGACGGGGGCCTTCTGGACGGGTGGCCACGCACACACAGGTGACAAAGACCCTCACAAGGGGCCCAGTCGGCAGACAGACGGGGGTAGTCACAGGTCTTCTTTCAAGCAAGAGGTCCCACCCACGCCGCGCTGTGCCAGGCAAGTCTGCCACAGAGGACGTCCAGTGTCACAGACCAAAGTCGCCCCCGTGAGGGACGGGGCGACTCTGACTCAGTCCCCCGACAGGACAGGGCAGACCTGCCCCTGTGAGCTCCCCAGATTGGGGCTCTTTACGGGAGTAGAAAGCCTCATTTCCCTCCTGCGGAGCGACTGTTGGTTTCTCATGACGGATGTCCAGGTCAGCAGCCCAGTGTGTAGCCACTTTGCTCCCAGGCTCCTGAGGATAAGGACGAAGGAAAAGCAACACAGGACGGGGCGCCTCCAGCGACGGTGCCGGCCGAGCGTCCTCAACACCCAGGGCGCTCCAAGGCGTACACGGGAAACAGACAGAGACGCGCTGGGTTTCCCACAAGCCTCTGCAGCCCCTCAGTAGCACAGACTGGCAGAATGAACGCACCTGTCTTGGCAGAAGCCCGGCCAGGCTTCACCTCGCACACGGGGCCAGGCCTGCAGGAGGTGTGCTTGGTAAAGTGGAGGGGCAGCGACGAGGAGGGCGGGCCTCAGCAAGGTGGACGGCACGGCGGCCACAACAGGGGCTCAGACACGCTGAGAATGGCGAGGGGCACAGGACTGGGCTATGTTTCGGTCGCTAGGAGTTGAACTGACTCGACAGCCCTAGCAGCTGACTGAGCGATGCCTCCCCGTGAAAAGCATGGGCCCGCGGGTCACAGTAAGGGGTCAGCCACACACGCGCACGGATACGTACATGCATACACACACAGGGACACACATGAACACAGATATACACAGAGACACACATGGACACACACATAAACAGATACACACACACTCCCGTGCCCTGCCCACACATGCTCCAATTCCCCATCACCTGGCAGGTCCGACTCCCCACCTCTGGAAGGACGGCCACTGTCACATAACCTGAAGGTGGGCAGTTCGAACCCAGCAGCTGCTCTGCAGGGCGAGAGACGTCCAGCCTGGGGGCGGACCGAGCGGCAGCTCAACAGTGTCAGCGGCGAGTTGTGAGCTTAGCTGTCGTCACTGCCGTCTGTGGTTGAGTTTGCTGACACTGAACATCGGTGGCTTTCTATCAGAAAGGCAGTGTCCAGTTCTAAAGAGACACGGCAGCAGCAAAGGGCGCTTAGGTACACCGCAGACCGTCGGGATGCTGCGGGGAGCTGCCGCTGGAGCCCAGCCGCCTTCACGTGCACAGGCGTCCCCAAAGGGCAGCAGGCCGGATGACCAGTGGCTTAAACCAACCCTGAACTTAAAACGAACAAGACTGGCCATGCAGGGTGCCCGGAGCAGAGAGGGGCCTCCCTGGGCCGGGGCTGGGTCTTGGGAGCAGGGTGGCCCAGCTCTGCCACAGATGAAGGCTCAGCGGCCCGGAGCCTGAGTGGCCGGGAGCATTTTTAGCATCAAAGTACAAGGACACCCCCGCGTGTCATTTCTCACCTCAAACAAGCCACATAACTGGCAGCTGTGGGCAGGCCACTGGCTGGCACGGGGACAAAGACGTCCCAGGGCCCAATGAGAGCGGCTTCTGAAAGGATTTCTGCCCTCAAGGCTTGATGGGTGTGGAAAGAAAGTGGGCGGGCGGGAAGGAGGGAGGCCTGAAGGGCCAGAAGGAAGCAGTGCTGTCCAGGGAACTCAGACAGCCTCATCTGCAGCCCGAGGAATGAATGGTGGGTTTGAACCACTGACCTTGTAGTTAAGCAGCCCAAGGCCTAACTCACAGCAAACTCCCTGCCACTCAGCCAACTCTGACCCTGTGAGATACGGAGAGCTGCCCTGGGGGTTTCCGAGGCTGTAACTCTTGACGGGAGCAGCCGGCCTCGTCTTCCTCCTGCTGGCTTCAAGCTATGCCCCTGTGGTCAGCAGCCCCTTGCATGGCCCACTATGCCCGTGTCCTGGCTACTTAATCATCGACAGTCCTGTGCTGACAGAGGCTCATAGTCTGAAACTAGCAGCCGCTTGGAGGGGGAAGATGGAGCTTTCTACTCGCCCCCAGGGTCCCGGTCTCAGAAACTCGGGGGCAGTCCCACCCTGTCCCACAGGAGGGCCGTGTGTCCACAGCGGCTGGTGGCAGTGTGTGCGTGCTGACTGGCACAGAATCGGAACTTGAAACACGGGGCACTTGGGAGGGCTACGCCCTCAAGGCTCGCACGACCAGCGGCCATCACATCAGCTCTGAGTCACGGGCCCCCCACATGCGCCTCGAGGCTGTCACAGGGACAGCACAGCAAGCCAGGCTGCCCCCGCCCCCTCCAGTGTGGTCGTCTTCGAAGCGGGATGACAGGTCAGGAGGGTCTTACAGCACTCTCAACTTTGCACTCTGTTGCACACGCCTTTGTCCAAAGTGAAAGGAGAAGGAGAAGAAGTGGCTGCAGAGGCAGGCGTGTGGGGAGACAGGAAACAGAGAGCAATGGCAGTGGTGGAGAGGAAGTTGGGGCCGGAAGTCCTCCCTGATGACCGACCATGGGAGGCTTGCCTATGAGCTGGCTCAGCCATCCTGGACAGGGAAGCCTGCTGCCCGGCACGCCCCAGTCGGCCCCAGAGAGTTCAGAGGCTCCGTCAGTGAGGTCACTTCAAGGGCCAGACCTCCAGCCAGTTGACCAACCCAACCACCAGGCCACTGCCGCTGAGCCGGGCCCAGCTGGCAGCCAGCCTGCAGGACAGAGCAGATCTGCCCCAAAGGTGTTCAGGGCTGTCCTTCCTTTGTGGACGCCGACTGTCTCAATGCTGTCCCATGGAATGGCTGGTGGGCTCGAACTGCCGACCTTTCCATCAGCAGCACCACTGCACCCCTTTGCTCTCCATGGATGGGCCTATCTGGAACTCTGCCATTTTTATCAACGTCAGACACACATCCGCATGGAGCTTGCAAGACCTAGGTCCTGGGCCTGCCTTTCCCCCTCCCCGTCCCCCACTCTCTTTAGCTGACTCAGGCCCACCAGCCACTTGGAGGGAGATGATAGGACAGTCTGTTTCTGGAACGATGACAGCCTTGGCCTCGTTCCGGGGCAGCTCTCCTCTGCCCGACAGGGTCGCTGCCCAGGCAGAGAGAGGGCTGGCAGTGCAGCCCCTTCCCCTCCCCACCCCTTCTCCACGCAGATGTGGTTCTGGTTCTCTCGCTCCAATTAGGGAGAGACGCTGTGTTTACCTAAATTATCATCATTGTGTTGAGGCTACTGCTCAGAGTACCCCGTAATTATTTTTCTCTTTCCGCCCAAGCCGTGTTTTCCCTGGGGCTAGTAGCAGCCTGGAGCTCCAGGTCCTTATCACTAATCCAGCCCCCCTCTCCACCCCAGAAGTTCTGTGCCCCAGGGACACAGCAGCCCCAGCGCCTCCAGACAGCCTTTGCTTGGCTCCTTGCGGTGGTCAGCCTCTGGGTGGTCAGCCTCTGTTTACCGTACTTTCCAGTCAGTCCCGATTCAACCACCCCACACAGGCAGCATAAGACACTGGCCGGGGAGCCTGGGACAGCCTCCCGCCCGGTAAGTTTGAGAGCCCATGGCTGCGGCCACTGTGCCAGTCCACTTCATCGAAGTCTTCCTCTTTGCTGTTGCCCCTCTACTTTACCAAGCATGATGGCCTTCTCCAGAGGCAGGTCCCTCCTGGTGACCTGTTCATAGTCTGTCTCCAGGGCAGATCCGTGTGTTCTGGGCATTTCTGCATCTCACTGGCACCATCGCACCTCCCTCTGGAACAAAGCCTCTCCCCTAGACACCTTTTCTGGCTCTTCATTTACCACCGAACTCTGGGAGAATGGGAGCCCTGATGGTGCAGTGGTTATGCGGTGGGCTTCGACCTGCAAGATCAGCAGCTCGAATCCACCAGCAGCGCCTCAGGAGAAAGAAGAGGCTTCCAAATCCCGTAGAGAGTGGCAGTCTCGGAAACCCCCATGGGCGGGCCTACTCCAGCCTGCAGGCTCTCCAAGAGTCAGCACTGCCCCAAGGGCAGGGAGTTTGGGGTTTTGAGGCCCGTGAGCTCTCTCTTTGGCTCCTGAATGTGCCTTGTACTGTCCACTCTCCGTTGGAGCACCCTGGTCTTCTTTTCTGAGAAAAAGGACCCCACTGGCCTCGAGGGGTCCTGACTCACAGGGACCCCCCGGGACTGGGTAGAACTGCCACGGGGGTTTCCGAGGCTGCAGCTCTTCATGGGGGCAGACAGCCTCATCTGTCTCCCGAGGGGCGGCTGGTGGGTTTGAACCTCGGGCCTTGCACCAGGGCATCTGTCACACTGAGAGCATGGTAGTGGTTGTTTTTATGTCTTTTCCCAAAGCTGCCGCTAAGGGAGTCCCCAGACCTCACTTCTCAAGAGGCTTTCTTCAGATGTCCCTGGCTGCATGATACCTCCCTCGCCGCCCCCCCCACAGACACGTGTACATGCCACATACACACAGACATGTACATGCCACACACAAACATACATACATGTAAACACCACACACGTATAAATGGGAGGTGGCTTCAAGATGCTCATGAGAAATCGGAACGGGAGGCTAAAGGACACTCTCACTGAGCTGTGCGGGACAAGGCAGCACGCCTGCGTCTCAGGTGTCCAAAAGCACTCTGTCCCCATCCCCACCTCGGACACAGCCGCTGCCTCAGGGCCGCACCGGAGAAGGACTGGGGTGGCTACAGTGACCCCAATGTCCAATGCCGGCCACCAAAGCCTGCCTCTGTCTCCATTTGGCTTTGGGACACTGGCACCCTGGTTTCCCTCCTCGGCACTCTCTCGTCCCAGAAGCCACCCATCCACCCAGGGAGACTCCACAAATGCCTCCGCTGGGGCTTTTGTCCTCACACAACCCACCCTCACCCTAGTGAGCCAACTCGGTGACTGTCTGTCTCAGGGACATGCAGAGCTGTGGCAAGTGTGGGTTCTGGGTGCCAGCATCAGGGGCAGGCACTGTCACCAGTGTTCCTGAAGCCCCTCAGTGCAGGACCCCAGGTCTCTGCTTTCTGGGTGGCAGTTGGCACTTTCTCTCTCTTTATATCCCAAGAGAAGACGTGACACAGTTGTAGGGGAAGCCCAACGGGATCAGGGCTGTGTCCAGGCCAATCCCCTCGCAACTGACTGCTGGGCGACAACATCATCGATAACTGCCAGATGATCTTCTTCCAAACTGTCAAGCCACCAAGAACCAGGGCTCAGCTACATGGGCACCTATGGGTGTGTGTGTGTGACACAATCCAATCCACAGCCTCTGTTCCCACGTGTACAGAGGACCACCATACGCAGGTCCCCCAGCATTTTTGAATCCCCCCCCCATACACACTTTTGGCCCCTGCCCAAGGGCCACAGCTCCTGTACCTCCCCTCACTCAGTCTCCAGCTCCCTGGCCCTCAGCAACGCCATCACCGCCCGGGGTTCCCGGCATGGTGCAGCAGCTCCACAGCCCACCCACCATGAACACAGACTCACTTGCCAATACAGACCCCTTTCCCATCTCTGCTCCAAAGGCCGCCTTCACCTGGAATGTTCTTCCCAGACATCAAAGGCCCCACCTCCTGCCCTGACCACAGTGGAAAAGACTGTCCTGTGCTCCAAGAACCAGGAGGGACGGGCTCATTCCTCTTTCTTCTCAGGGACAGGCGGGGCCACCTGCGGCCTCCTGCCCACCAGAAGGAAACTCCACATCGGAGGGGAAGTGCTTGGGAGTCCACACATTCTTATGCTTTGGGGGCCGATGGCCAGGAACCCCTCCCCATTCTACTCTGGAAGTTGTGGCGAAATCTGTCTCCACCAAAGGCGGCTGCATAAAGGTGCCCAGACCAGGGGCAGAACAGGCTCTCGGGGGTGGAAGGTCAGAGTTCCATCCCACCCCCACCCCTTGCCAAGCAGGGCGGAGGCTCAATGAAGCCGCTGGCTTGATCACAGGCACCTACTGAGCACTGAGTGCCCCGCTGCTCTCTGTCCCGGGCCCTAACACGCTCACCGGACGTCCCTGTCGATGGATCTGCGAGAAAACAAATCACAGGGAGTACTGCCTGGCAGACTCAAACCCATGACCCTCGAGTCAGGTCCGACTCACGGCCACCCTACAGGACGGGGCAAACCCGCCCCTGGGGGTTTCCGAGATGGCGATGGTTTACAGGCACGGAAAACCTCGTCTTTCTCCCTAGGAGCAGCGGGTGGTTTCACACGGGCGGGCCTTGTGGGGAGTGACCCACTGCATCTCCCCTGGGCCCACGGGGTTCCCACCTCCTGAACTCCCCAGCCTGCTGCCCCCACAGGTCAAGTCCCTCTTTTTACAGCGCATGCCAGCATGGGCTCCAGTCCCACACCAGACACACACCCAGCAATGCAGTCTCCAGGCTTGGGGGCCAGGAGAGGGGTGGCTGCTGGTGCAAGTCCACCCAGAGGCACTGCGGAAGAGAGGCCTGGCCGCCTGCTTCCTCTACAAAGCCAGCCTCTGCAAAGCTCGGGGGACAGGGGGGGGCAAGGAGAGTGGACAGGCCATCTTTGTAAGGGCCAGCTGAGCCAGGCCCTGGGACCACACTTTGGGGAACAGGTCCCTGAAAACAGCTGCATCTCCATCCCCCCCACCCCACCCCCACCCCGGCAACACACACACATACACACACACACACCGCCCCAACGATTCACATTCTTATGCAGCCTGGGTCTCCTGCCTCCCTCTGGGGCTGAATTATAAAGTAAATAATTTAATAACCGGGAGAACACTCTGACTCCTTGTGCTCCACCGCCAGACGGAACCGGCCTGCGCCAACACTTCGCCAGGGACCGCCGTCTCAGTGGCCGCAAGCCCAAGGAGCGGATACAAGTCCCAGTGTTAGCAATGGAGGCATGGCTTCCGGGCCAGAGCCAGAGCCGGTCACTGAGGCAACACTTCCAGGGGCGGTGGTGTGCACGCCGGGCTGCAAGAGGCAGAAGCCAAAACAGGGCGGGGTGTGTGTTGGGGGGCAATGCCCATCGAATCAGGGAAGTGGAGCGCATAGCAAGGCCGGGTGGGGCCCTCTCCACAAGCTGGAGCCAGAAACCAGCCTATGCCTCTGGCCAGAAGATGAGGCTCCAAAGGGCAGGAAAAAGGCCAGTCCCTGTGAGGAGGGCAGGCGGACATCAAGGCTGGCCCCACGGCACCCTGGTCACAGCGGCTTAAGGAGCTGATTTCACTTCTGGGCTCTCAACTAGCAGAGGCGAGGGTTCGGGACGCTAGTCCACGTGCACCGGCTGAAGAGCGAGTGCGGCCGGACAGAACCGCTGCCGAGGACTCCGCGGGTGGACCGTCCACACCGCCTGGGCCAGAGCCAGGGTCCACGCCGCACGGGCTCAGAGTGTAGGCTCCGCCAGGTCACGAGGCGTGGGGCCGGGGCCGCAACCGGGGCTGTGGCCTGCTGCTGGACAGGCTGCGAGCCCACCCGAGGAGGGGTCCCCAGAAAGGGACTCCCAGATAAGGGGTACCCCAGAAGAAAGAGTATCTAGGAGTCCCACGAGAAGAGGGTCCCTCGAAGTAGGGGTGCCCCGAAGGAGGGGTCCCCAGAAAGGGATGCCCGAAGGAGGGGTGCCCGGGGAGGGGTCCCAGAGAAGTCCCCCCGAGGGGCACTGAAGGTGGCGTGCGCCAGAGGAGGGGACTCCGGCGAAAGGATCCCCCGTAGTAGGGATGCCTCGGGGAAGGGTGGTCCCAGAAAGCGACGTCGTAGGAGGGGTCCCCCAGGAGAGCTGTCCAGAGAAGGGGTCCCAGAAGGAAGCGATGCCCAGAGGAGAGGCTCTCCGAGGAGGTTTCCCCCCGCGCCAGGGAGGAGTGCCCGACCGCCAGGCGCCGCCTGAAGCGGGGATCCCCTCAGCCGGAAGAGTGGGGTCCGCCGTCCCCGCGCCCCGCGCCCCTCACCTCGCGCCGCCGCCGCTGCCGCCACTGCCCCGCGCCCAGCGGCTCCGCCGCCCTCTGAGGCCCCGCCCCCGGCGCTACGAGTCCCGCCCCCCGCGCCCGTCTCGCGAGAAGTCGTGCACGGCGGAGGGGCAAGGCCCACGGCCCCTCCTCCGACGCGCCTGCGCCGACCTCTCCACCCCGCCCCGCCCTCCTGTGCCATGTGGCGCCGTATTTACGATCAGGGAGCGGCCCCGCCCCCAGGCTGCTTGGAGCCCCGCCCCTCTCTTGGCAGCCAATGGCGTGCTGAGAGCTGCTCCGTGACTCCGCCCCGCGGGCGTGGCAGAGCTCGTGATCCCGCCTGATGGAGCCCTTGGCGCGAGCCCGCGTGCGCGGGCTTCCTCTGGCCGGGTCGCGTGCCTGGCTCCGGGTCACCCGGCGGTTGCCAAGTGACTGCACGAGCTGGAAGGCCCCTCTGCCAGCACGGTATGGGACAGTCTTTTGTGTTTGTAGTGGTCTGTTGTGATTCCTGAAGTTTTCGTGGACTCATTTTGGGAAGCAGATAGGTCACCAGGCTTTCTGCAAACCCCGGTGGACCCTGTCTGCCAGCGACCCTGCTGGCTTTCCAAGGGACGGTTTCTGGAATCCCGGCCACGGGCTCCCTTCACTTGACCAGACTGGCCGCCGGGTGACGGTGGAGCCTCCAGGTGGAGGGAACCCCACACGGAGTGGGGTGGAGCCACCGAGCTGCGCTGCCTTTTGTTTGTGTTGGAATGCATCCTTGTGTTTGGGTGGAGGTGTGCTCCGCAGTTTGAGCCCCCAGTCAGCAATCCCCCCACAACGAGTCGTCGGTGACGTGTTCTTGGGAGCCCCATTCTAGGGTTCTGTTTTTATTCATCAGTCGCCCTGCCCCTACCCTCTGTGTGGAGGTCGCTGTTGACCACTGGGTCTCGCACAGGTGTTTTTTTAAGGATCACAAGTTCTGGTGGGTGCTGTGTTGTGAACCAATTTGTTGTCCAGCTACAAAGTGAACCCAGAGCATCTCAGGGGAGTCAGAACTCACCGGGAGTCTGTCCAGTAAGCCTGCTCTGTTTTGTGGTTGTTTTCTTGTTTTCAGGAATTTGAGGTTCTCACCCACCTTGTTCTCCCGGTCCTTCAGGCGCCATCTACTTCGCCCTGATTGGAATGGTCGGGGTGGTAGCCGGGCACCATCTAGCTCATCTGACTGACCTGCAGCGTTTTCACAGACGGATTTTTTTCCTTGGAAGTAGATTGTCAGGCCTTTCTTCCTAGTTTGACTGAGTCTGAGAACTACACTGATACCCTGTCAGCATCACGCGAAGGGCAAGCTCGCCCCCCCCCCCTCCTGGTGCACAGGCAGGAAGCCAGCACTCAGAGAAGTCCGCCAATTTGCCAAAGACTCACACCTGAGCCACTCAGAGACGATGGACTCCTGTATCAGTGCTCACACAGTTCCTGTGATGAGGTGCCTCTCCAAGGGCTGATATCCCTGTAGACACACCCCAAAGGGGGAATCTTGTCTCTCTTTCTCTGGGCCCCCAGCCACTTTGACCTGGTGACCCCTGCTGGCTGCCTTTTCAGGCAATGACCACCCTGGCCTCTCCCCTTTGCTCCCCAGCTGTACTGACTGAGCTCCTGCTTTTCCTGTCAGGCTTCGTTTTCTCCACCAGCTACAGCTGTGGCTGATGTCACGAGCTAGGTTGGAACAGAGGACAGACAGACATCACGGAGCCTAGGCGCTGAGTCCCCGTGGGAGGCAGCTGGGGACTCAGGCGTGTGGCCCTGCCACCTGACCACTGAAGGGCTGGGCAGAGGGAATGAGAGGAAGGAGTGGCAGGCAGACTCCCGACCCCACTCCCAGGTGATGGAAAGCTCAGGGAACGCACACACCTCCCCACCCCCACCCCCATTTCCTTCCCTGCAGTGTTTGTGGCACAAATGCCTATAGTTGTGGTTTGGGGTGAAGGGTGGCAGGAAGCAGCCCAGGAGGCAGAGCCAGGCAATCTCTGGCTGTTACCCAACCACAGCATGAGCTGGCCAAGGAGAGTGAAAGTCCCGTGAACAGCCAGTGGAACAATCTAGTCCGTCCCGGGAGGCAGCCCGCGGGAGAGTGCTTAGAAACAAGGATGGCGAGACTTCGTCTCCCGTATTTGGGGCCTGTGATCAGGAGATACTGGTCCCCGGAGAAGGACAGCGTGCTTGGTAAAGGGGGCCCAACCCAAAACAAACCCACCGTATCCAGTCGGCCTCAACTGGGTGGACTCTAAGAGAGTGGAAGTGCCCCTGTGAGTTCCAGGACTGTGGCATGTCACAGGTGTACACAGCCTCCTCTTTCTCCCGCGGAGTGGCTGGTGGTTTCAAAGTGCTCACCTTGTCGTGAGCAGCCCCAACGAGTCACCCACTCACTATGCCACCAGGGCTTCCTCCAAGAGGAGGACCCTCAATGAGACAGTGGCCGCAGCAGTGGGTTCAGACACAAGGACAACTGTGGGGCCGGCGCTGTTTCATTTAGTCGTTAATCTGGCTGCTGTGAGTCGGAACTGACCCAAGGGCTCCTGAGCACAACCGCCACACCAGAGCCGGGCAGAGGCCAGGGTGCCGCGGGCTCAGCTGAGGGCCAGCCAGAGAGGGGCTGCCAGCAGGGCTGAGAAGAGGGATGCAGGGACGCCCTCTACCCTTGCCTTTCTGTAACCTGCCAACTTCCCTCCTGTGAGTTCAGCGTGGCCGCTGCAGCGGATCACTGAACCCCTCAGAAAAGGGGGTGCCATGGGAGTACGGTTGGTGTCAGACTAGGGGGAGAGGAGGTTGGGGGCATGTCTTCGCTCTTCCCTAGGCGGGGCTGGAGAGACTTATCCTTGGGTAGCAAGAAGAGGTGGCCTGGCGTGCCTCAGCTGCTAAACAAAGGAAACGCCCTGGGTGCGGGTGCCAGGATCAAACAGCACCTGCACCTGGCCCTGCATGCTCGCCTCTGCTGGGGAGCTCACCCCAACTGAGGCGGCTGTCTCGATCACCCAGGCCGCTCTGGTAGGATTGAACCGCTGACCTTGAGGCCAGCTCCCTCAATGTTTATCCTGCTGCGGCGCTTCACAAAGAGATAGGATGTCTGACACCTGCAGCCCCGTCCATGAACCTGGGTGGCATAATTCAAAGGAGGCACAATGCAGGACTCCGCTCACAGCAAAGATCTAGAAGCGGCCAGTGGCGGGGAGCGGGGAGGACCAAAGCTTATCGTGGTGACCAAGAGAACACCAACGATCCCAAAACTCCTGCCTCGAGTTGGTGCCAATGCAGCCACCCTTCAGGGAGGGCAGCCACGCCCCTGTGGGTTTCCCAGACTACAATTCTTCACGGGCGCAGAGAGCTCCATCTGTCTGTCTCTCTCCGAGTAGCTGGTGGTCTCGGCTCACAGCGCAATGTGTACGACCAAGGGAATGTGGGGAGGCGGACGGGGCTCTCTACTCCCAGGAGAGTTCCAGTCTTGGAAAACCCACAGGGGCGACGCTGCCCTGCCCTGTAGGGTCGCTGTGAGTTGGCATTGACTCGATGGCAGGGAGAAGGGCAGGTGGGAGGGAGTAAGGGGTGGGGCTCCTGAAGGTGATGACAGTGTTTGGAACAGAGTAGGGGTCTCACCACGCAGTCAGTGAGACCACAGAGCCGGGCATGAAAGAGCGGCTGACGGGCGAGTGTTACAGGGAGATGGAGAAGAGCGAGAGGGAGGGCTGAGGCCACAGGTGGCTTCAAAGAGGACGGGCAGGCACTCCTCATTGTGTGTCCTGCGCTGAGGACGCCCCATGTGTGAAGAATGGACTTGGTCCATTCTTGGACAGAGGTCTTCACACATGGGGCGGGGCCCGGGGGTGTCTGTGGCCACCCCATCCCCCATGGAGCAGACCTCTGTGCCCACTTCCCAGCTCTGGGCGCCGGGCCAGGTGGGTGATTCTCCTAAGGTTTCAAACCCATTCGTCCGCAGAAGGCACACGCATCGACGACAGCCGCCGTCGGCACAGCTTCTCCAAGAGAGGGAGCCACAAAAGAGGTGTGGCTCTCGGCCACGTCACCTCTGGTGTGCTGTGTGGTCAGGTCCGGCTGCAGGGTCTTGGGGGAAGCCTGCCACCCGCCCATCTCCTACGGCAGCAGGTGTGATGATAATGGTGGGGGCAGGGTGGGCGCTCTCTGCTGGGCCCTTCTTCGGCTCTGCACTGTCCTTCAACACCCGGCGTGCCCAAGGCTTGAGACCAGAGACTGGCTGAGGCTGAGCTTCCTGGACGGCCCCCGCCCCATAGCCCCCGGGCCTCCGGAACCCTCGTCCAGGCTGACCCTGCAGGGAGCCATGGAGCTGGTCAGTTTCCAGCCCTGGCCTGTTAGGACCCAGGAGCCCCTCCTTGAGGGACAGACTGCCAGCACGGGAAGGTGGCTCCAGGCCACAGTAGAGACGGCCCGGGCTGCCATGCCTTCCACAGAGGGTGCACGAGAGCCAAGCTGCGTGTGGCTCTGCTACAGAAGCTACCAAAACACCCACCCGACTCATCACTGCCTCGTTGAATCTCACTCACGGCAACCCTGCAGGACAGAGGGGAACTGCCCTGTGGGTTTCCAAGGCTGTACAACCTACGGGGAGCAGACAGCCGCCTCTTTCTCCTGAGGAACGGCTGGTGGTTTCAAACTGCTGACCTCTGGTTCACAGCGGAGAACTCTAACCACTGTGCCACCGGGGTTCCTAAGGCAACTCCTCTCTGTAAATGAAGCTAAACCCACTGCCACCAAGTCCATTCCGACTGATGGCAGCCCTACGGAGGGTTGCTAAGACTCGATCATGACGGGAGCAGACAGCCTCACCTTTCTCCCGAGAAGCGGCTGGTGTGTTTGAACCTCCGACCTTCCAGTTAGCAGCCTGAGGCTTGACCACCATGCATCCCCCAAACTCAAACTCACTGCAATTAAGTGGGTGCCAGCTCCCAGCGACCCTCCAGGTCCTGTGGGTTTCTGGCCCTGTGACTCTTTCTGGGGATGACACAGCTTTGCCTTCCTCCCCAGAACAGCTGACTTTGTGAGTACCAGCCCGATCCCTAATCCACTACGCTCCCAGGGCTCCCTTTCACAGTTCGACCGAAACATCATGCTCACTGCCTGTGTTAATCCAGGTGGACTAGAGAAATCCAGGGACACTCGTGTGTAAAGAGAGCTTTATATCAAAGAGTAATTGTATATTAAGAAAACGTCCCAGCCCAGTCCAGATCAAGTCCCTAAGTGCGATATTAGCCCATATGTCTGATACCAGTCTATAAATTCCTCTTCAGACTCACGCAGCACATGCAATGATGCCGAATGCAGGAAGATCACAGGCCATTGGGTGGGAAGTCTTGTGGATCCAGGGGTGGTGGAAGCATCTCAGTGCTGGCGTGAGTCTCTACGTGGCTCCTCCAGCTCCAGGGCTCTGGCTCCATCAGCATAGCTCCATGTGGCTTGTCAACAGGAATGTCAAGCAGAGAGAGTGTGTGTCCCGCCTCCAGGGAGGAAGGCAGGAGTTCCCAGAATCCTCAGGAGAAGGCCATTCCCACTCAGAGGCCTCATTGGCTATGACCTGATTGACAGGCTGGACTCCACCCTTCCTCAAGTTGACAGGAGATGGTGTGACTGCCACACTGCCATCGAGTCAGTGCTGCCACAGAGCAACCCTCTAGGACAGGGCAGAACTGCCCCGTGGGTTCCGGCAGCAGACAGCCCCGTCTTTCTCCCGTAGACCGGCTGGTGGGTTTGAACCACGGTCCTTGTGGAGAGCATCCCAATGTGGAGCCGCTGTACCTGGCGTGGAAACGTGTGTCCACAAGATGGTGTGTGTAGGTCCCCTTAGGGGCGAGGAGCTCGGCCTCAGGGTCCCCACTTCCCAGGGCTGGTTCTGGTGGTTTGGAGGGTTCTGTTTGTTTCGGACATGCCCCCCTGTGCCCCCGGGATGTCGGGAGGGGTGTGACCAGGCGGTGGAATGGCCGCGGGAATGGAGGCATCGGTCTGCCTGCCCGTGCACCGGCCTGTGGTACAGGGCTGGGCCTGGGTCCCTCTGCAGGCTGTCCCTGCAGTGGTGGGTGGTGGGAGTTTGGTGACCCACTGGCCCAGTACACTCTCCTCGAAGCAGGCACAGCGGTGTGGAGGGGTCCAGGAAGCATGTCCACAGTGGGGGTGGCCAGAAAGGGGCCTTGAGGAGGGCCCTGGGCATGCTCTTCTGAAGGTGGGCCATGGGCCCATGCCAGGTCACAGTGCTCAAGCCCAGGGCTGCGCTCTGGGGTCGCCTGGCTGCCTCCTGCCCGCCCACCCTGCCACCCACAGGCTTTACTTGGGCCTCTGTGGCCTCTTGGCACTGCTCCCCTGGTGCCTGCGGGGGTTGCTGGGGGGCAGCGGGCTGTGTCGCCGTCCTCCGCTGTCTATGGACCCTGGAGGGGTGGGGAGAGTTTAGCCTGAGATCCAAAGGAGGTCAAGCAGAGCCGGAGCCCCAGTGTGGAACCCCTGGCTGGCTGGGTCCTGAGACTCTGGGCTCCCCAGCTGGTCCCGAGAGCATGGGGACCTGGGTCCCTGAAGGTGGGGACCTGGTCTGAGCTGGCCGGCTGGACGCAGGTGGGCCCCACATCCCTGGCCCCCAGCCTCCCTTTCCCTCTCCCAGCTCCGCACTCCTCCCCACCCTTCTCCCCCGGCCATGTCCCCTTGCAGCCCTGGCCCAGTTTCAGAGCTGTCCCAGGACCCTCGCTGCATTGTGGCTGGATGTACCCAGCACTCGGAGCAGGACTGATTAAGACCGGGACTGTTGGCAGAGGGATTCTTTGTTCCTGGCTCTTCTGAGCTTGACTGGTTGTGGGCTACAGGCCCGAGGGAGACCCGAAGGCCCCCGGGGCCCATAAGAAGAGGGGCTGTCACCATCACGCCCCGGCTCCTGTCCGAGAAACGCTCCCACGGGCTTGGGGTGAACAGACCTTCAAGCTGTCGTAAACCCGCAGCAAGATGCGGTCAGCGGCCACGGCATGGTCTCACTTGGATGAAGCACCTCCAAGAGGCCACAGAGACAGGACGGTCTCTACCAGGGGTAGGACCACGCAGGGGTACCAGCCTGCTGCCACTGGCCCCCCTCTCCCCATACTGGCAGAGGGCTTGGTGAGGGAGTAGGTACATGATGATCGCTCCCACCCACCCTCACTTATCCCCATGGAGATGGTCTGAGCACCCAGGAAGTCAGCCGGCGAGAGGGGGGAGGTAGGCACTAACCTCGGATGTCCCTGGGCAGGAGGGGGCCCCGGCTCTGGCCTGTGCTGCTCTGCCACACGGCGCTGGGGAAGGAGAAGCTGACTTCAGGCACGTGGAGTGAGCTCTCGTCTGAGAAGTGAGACCCAAGACATTACCAGTGAGGGACCAGCCAGGGACTCATGGGAGACAGCCAAATACCAAACCAGCCTGCTGCCATCGGGTCCGTGCCCACAGGACAGGGCAGAGCTGCTCCTGCGGGTTTCTGAGGCTGTCCGTCTTTAAAGGGAGCAGACAGCCTCATCTTGCTTCAGAGGAGTGGCCGGTAGGTTTGAACTGCTGACCTTGCAGCCGGCAGCCCAGCCCACTGCGCCACCCAGGGATACGGCCTGGAGAGATTCTGCGCACGGGGCTCTCCCAGAGCAGGCGCCCTTGGTCTGGAAGTGACACCGCCAGCCCCTCCCCACCCATCGAGTTGATGCCAACTCACAGCAACCTGTAGGACAGGTTGGGAGTGCCCCTCTCTCCCCTGGAGCGGTTGGTGGTTTTGACTTGTTGACCTTACAGTTGGTAACCCAACATGTAGCCATGACGCCAGAGGTCGGGACAGGGAGAGATGAGAGCCTCCTCTTTGTTCCGCTCACTCCATTTCCCTCTGTGACCGTGACAGCTCGGCAGCAGTGTCTTTGGGGCATTTCCCTTCCTACTTTTCCTAGCGCACTCATTTTATGACAAGGGGGACAGCTGAACTAAAGTCTTCTTCAAAGGAATCACAGGCACGATGCAGTGGCACTCAGAACAGAGCAGGCAGCGCACACACACACACACACACACACAC